GTAAACATAGACACAGTGCTTTCCTCGCTTACCAGATCATCTGTAGTGAACAATTTCACATTTTTTCACTACGTCAAAGATTCTGCTTCTAGGTATGGCTGGCATCTCTCTCCTAATCCCACAGCACCTTCCTACAGAATCAAACCCTCTTTTCAGATTTACAATCCCTGATGGGGACGGGTGACCCAGAAAGCAAGGCAAGCACCGGCTTGCTTGTGTTTACTTATGAATCTGTAGTGAACAATTTCACATGGGTTTCACCTCTGATGTGACCCAAGTGAAATTGTTCACTACAGAAGATCTGGTATGCAAGGTAAGCACGGTGCTCACCTTACCTATTGGATAATCCACCCCTGAGGAAGAAGGCTGATGGGCCCTAAGGGCCTGTTTGCAAAAATTCCCCTTCCTCAACAGATTACCGAGGGAGAAGGTGCTGGGTCCCTGGTCTCCCATTCTAGGTTTAGGACTCCAAACTCGGAAGTTCATACCTAAGAAGGTGCCTACTGACACTTTCTGGACAACTCGCAAGCCATCTAGTTTTTTCTTCTCCATCTGCCATACTCACTTTTCTTCCACAAACATTGGAAAGAAATAATCCCTGGCTGAAAATAATCCCTCTCTTAGCAAGGGCAACATGGACTTTACTCTGGAGGAATGGGGCATTCTGAGCCCTACTCGGAGGATCTCGATCAGAGATTTGAGGCTGGAGATTTGTAGGGACATGGTCTCTCTTGGGGGAAGACTGCCTTCCCCTGTAAATGAGGTCCTATCCTTTCAAATGACTTGAGATCCTCATTGATTAAGAACTGTGAAACATGCACCTGAGCCAGATGATTGCGCCACACACTGTACTTCTGCTCTTTATTTCCCAGGAAAAAGTTACATTTTTTAAATCAACTTTATTTAAGGTATAATTTACATATAATAAAATGCACCAGTTTAACTGTACAGTTTGATTACTTATGGCATGTATAGGCATGTGTGTAAATATCACCATAATCAAGGTATAGAACATTTCCCCTATGCCTCTTCCCAGTTAACCCCTCCCCCCACTTCCCCAGGCCCCAGGCAACCACTGATTGACTTTTTTTTTTTTAATATTCTGTTGTTTGAAAGTTTGATTGACTTTCTATCATTACATATTAGATTTGCATTTTCTAGAATGTCATATAAATAGAACCATACAGTATGTAATGTTTTGAGTCTGGCTTCTTCCACTTGGTATAATGCTTTTGAGATTCATCCATGTTGTTACATGTTTCAAAAATTTATTCTGCTGAGTAGTGTCCTGTTGTATGAATGTACCGCAATTTGTTTATCCATCCACCAGTTGATGGACATTTAAGTTGTTTCTAGTTTTTAGCTGTTATGAACAAAGTTGCTATGAACATTTGCATATAAACAAACAAAACTGTAGAATTGTAGAAAATTCAACAGAGCAGCCTGGCCAGCAATTAATTCGCTGCCCCACTGGGGAGGGAAGAGCCAAGTAGTTGATGAGGCCAAGTTACAGCAGTCAGTTTTGTAAAAAGCAGCTGTAGCCAAAAAAAGAAAAAAAAATTGCTTGTACTGAGCATAGAGAGGACTGCTGATCAGGCGTCTTTCAACGCGTGGGAAAAACAAATTGTAACATCATTGGCAGGACAGAATAACACACTTAGCCGTTTCATTTTGACGTTGGCTGGAATTGAGCCAATAGACTCAAACCCTATTTTCCTGGCTACTTTTTTAGGATATGTCTGAAGGCCCGTCCAGGCAGTCAAGACAAAGAGCTCCATCTCCAGAGTTAGAAGGACCTTACCTTCTTGTAGGCCCTTGGGTAGAGATAAGTAACCTTGGCAAATGGTTATAAAGAGTACCTACCTTAAGGGTTGTTGGCAAAATTAAATGAGAAAATATGTAAATCACTTAGCAACTGTCTGGTTCAGAAGGAGGGCTCAGTAAGCATGAATTATTATGTTTAAAAACCATGTAATCTCTTTGACTAGTAGTAAAAGAATCCAAACGTAGTCCTTAAGAAATTGGAATATTTTAATGTTTTCTCTTAAATGACACCACAAATTTTTCCTATATTTACTTATATAATGATTGAATAATTATATTACTAATCACAATCCAGTTAGAGTTTAAACATTATCATCTCAGTCACAAAAACTTGGAATGGCTACACCATTGGTCCATCTCCTCAACAGCAGCTGTCTAGTTCCTATCAGGTGCTTCTCCAGCCAGAAGAACGACCTCAGGAGTTTGTCAGTAAATTGGATTCATGAGCTCACTCAGGAGTGCTCATTCTGTGCCGGTGTGGCCTGGAATCCACTACTCTGGACCAGTTTTGGTTCTGAGGTGCCCGCTGCACCTCTGCGTCCTCTAAAGAGGTCCCTATGGTGAAGTCCAAAAAGCACAAGTTGGAAGCTGAGGACGTGGGTTTAAATCCTGGCTTTATTCCCTTTCCCACATTTTAAGTCTCTTCACCTTTCCAAAGTTCAGTTTCCTCATCTCTACAGTGGGGTAACAGCAGTTACCTCACCAGGCTGTAGGAGGGATTACATGATATTACAGTGCCAGGACTGTGCGCTATAAATGCGTGTTGACCCTGTTAATTCAATGCTTTATCTTACAATCTCTCCTATTTCCCACCATCCCCAAAGCTCACTGTTATATAACTCAAATGAAATGGAACGGCTTTAAAGAGTGATTCAAAAATCACTCCGTAAAAGTTAATATTGTAAAAACTGCCCTGAATGTTCACCTTTCTAGAAAGGTGGGGCCCTTTTCTGCCGCACCAGGGCTCAGTCTAGCACCTAGGTTTTGAGTGGAAGGGTTCATTTTAAGTTATTGTAGCCATAGGTACCCGCTTGGGTTCAGTGGGGGACGTTTACTCGGAAAAACGCTTTCCTCTCCCAGGCACCAAGGCTGCGCCTGCACTCCCTCCGTTTCCCAGGTCAGCCTCTTCGTCTTCCAGTCCGCCGCTCACCTGCCCCCTCTCGGTGCTGGGCAAGCCCCGGCGCGTCGCGGCGCCCATCGGAGGGTTGGTTTTTATTGAGTCCTTCAGAGGTCCCTCCGGGCTTCCGGCGCCGGCACCAGGTGCGGGCGGTTTTGCTCCAGGCGACGTAAGAAACTCAGGTTTCCCCCCTTCCCGGACCCCCGCAGATCGTTCATTGGCGGCCCCAGCCCCCTCCCACTGGGGCAGCCGACCCTTGGAGCTTTCGCCCTTGCGCACTCAGAGCCCCAAGGGGTGGCCGGGGACTCGCTCTAGGGCCGAGATCGGCGTGGGCAGAGCCCCAGGCTTTTCCTTCTGCCCTAGTGTCTTCGGCTCGAGGGATGGGTGTGCGAAAACGTTCACTCCTGCGTGCTCTCCCCCACCCCCAACCCCATGCACTGCTACGTATTTACGCTCCTCAAGACCTCCCGAAGGGGAAAATCTTTCTTCCAAGCTCTTTAGCTACTGGATGGGCACGTTGGGGACGAGCTGGCGTTTGAATGCTCGCGCGCGTCTCCCATTGGAGGAGCGCAGGCCTGGCGCGCTCCGAGCCTTTAGTAGGTTAAGGGCGGCGTCCAGGTGCTGGATTCCTCCGAGTTTTCTTAATGTTTTCGTTTGGCAATTATGTTGAACCCAGATGGCTTCTTACTGTTCTCGAATAGAAGGCACTAGCACTGTTTTCCCCCATTCTCCTTCCCTTCTACAAAAAGAAAGAGTTTTAGAAAAGAATTCCACCTTACGTTGCTTGAGTGGGTTTACCCTAGTCACGCATGGCTGCTTGGAAATTGCATCCTTGAGAAAGGAGGTAAAAAGCAAAAGCTAGAGAGAACTGGGAACAGTTTGTTTTGTATATGTGATTATTTGGACTTTTTGGCTTTTCCTTGGGGGAAAAATAATTCTAGTTAAAGAAAATGTTACTCTCATTAGTGCCAAAATATATGGTGTTTAAGAAAATTTCAAAAAAGTAAAACCAGAGTTTATTTTGTTGTAATGAATATAAGAAAGACACAACTTTCTCATTTTCAGTTAGAAACTTCTATTACCATTTTGGCTTGTAGTTCAGTAGTATACTTCTAAAGAAAATAACAAATTCTCATGCTATTTTCTCTCTCTATCCCCTTTGATTTTTCAGTCCAGGGCAGAACCACCAGAAGAGAACAAACGAAAGCCAGTTTTGGGGAAATTTGGCAATCTATTCACGGCAGGAAGGAGACGGAACACCAGAAACGGGTTAGAGAGTTCCAACAGCTCAAATGCCAAACTAGCCTCTCCCAAAGATGTAACATCTAAACTCTCTGAGAGTGACAATGAGAAGAGTAAATCTCAGGGCAGCCAACCAACCCAAACAGATACGTGCCAGGAGGGCTCGGCTCCGAAGCCCCAGGAGCCGGAGGGCGAGCACTCCGAGAGCGGTGTCCAGGCAGCCCCCTCTGACGCCGAGCTGTCACCTTCCTCGAGCAGCCGTGCAGCGGCGGCAGCTGTGCAGCAGTGCCATGAAAGTGATTCACTCCAATTAGAACCTCTGGAGGCAGAGGGAGAGACTTTCCCACATGCCACCACCCCTGCCAAGCAGCTGCATTCCTTGCCAGAGAATTCCTCCAGGCAAGAGAGCTCAGAGACGCCCGCCCGCGGTCCGGGGGAGGACTCTCCTCCTTGGGCTGGCCGCAAACAGGAGACCGCCCGGGCTGGGAGGGGTGTGCCAGGGACGCCCACCGGGGAGCGGCCCGCGGGAGAACTAGACGAAGTCCTTGACCGGGCTTCTGGGGTGTGTACTGAACAAGGCTCTTTGGGGCCCCAGGACGCGCGCAGCCAGCCCCTTGAGGACGCATCAGCCCCGCCAGGTGACCCTCCCACCGAGGGCGGAGAGACTAGGGCCAGCTCGGTGCAGGTAAACGACCAAGTCGGGCCAGGAGGGCGCGCTCATCCCGCCAAAGTGTTAACTTTGGACATCTACTTGAGGAAGACTGAGGTCGCACAGGCGGACGAGCCGGTTGTGATTGCTGCTGGCACAGAAGGTTGGGGCGATTCCGACGACATGGAGAAGAGGTCGAGCGGTCGCAGGTCCGGGAGGCGGAGAAAGTCACAGAGATCCAACGACTCCCCTGGCGCAGACGCGGCGCTGCCCCAGAGCCCAGGAGGGGACGACGCGGTGTTCGACGACCAGGTGGCGCCAGACGCGGCCACCGAGAACGTCTCGGCGGGAAAGAAAGGGAAATCTCCGCAGACGGCCCCCGACGGGGGCGTTACCTCCGCTGGGAGCCCGGAGTCCAAAGCCAGCTCTGGCCCCAAAGGGCAGCCCCATGGAGAGTCGGACCGCAGCAAGCAGCCACCCCCAGCCTCATCTCCCACCAAGAGGAAGGGCCGGAGCCGCGTCCCCGAGGCCTTGCCCACCCCGCCCATCAGCGGCTCACGAACTCCCACCAAGGAGTCCCCGACCAAGAAGGCGCCCGCGCCCGCGCCCGCGCCGGACGTGTGCCCGGCCGCCAAGGGCGCCGCGGGGGAGAGTGGGGAGGAGCCGGCCCGGGTCTTCCCCCGAGAGCTCACGGTCAAGAGCAGCTCGCTGCTGCAGGAGATCAAGTCCGAGCATAAGAGCGGCCCACTCCCCAACTATTTCGAAGGCCGAGGAGAAGGAAATCGAAGTAGAGAACTGGGCAGATCCGCAGGAGGTTATGACGCCGACGGCTTGAGGCCGAGGAATCAATTCGGTGGGGCCAGGTCGATGGTGACCACCAAAGTGACCCTGTAAGTAGCTGCGGAATTGGGCCTGGCTGGGTTGCGCTGTCCGCGGAGATAAGTAGGGCGGCCACTCTGCAAGGCTGGGGTCCGTGCATTTGTGGAAGAACTGACAGTGCACATAACTAGAAAATTCTTCTTTGTTAAATACAGTGAAGGACTGGCTTACACAGTTAAGGTTTAAGAAGACGCCACATTTGGCAGCCTAGTCTGTTGTTAATTCCTGTTTTAATCTAAGATTTAAGTTAAATGAAAGTAAAAATGAGCTAGCCCCTAAAGTTCAATGTTTACATAATAATAGAAATAAGACTGTATGGTGTGACATGAGCTAATTCTATTCTTTATTCAGAATGTGCCCCAGTATTCCTGGGCAGGATCTTAAAACTCATACATAGTGAATTTGAGAACGTGGAGTAAGCACTAATATGTACAATATGACCCAGTAGCTTTGACACATGTGAGTTTAAAAAGTTTTTCTGGAACTTAGTGCCTTATTGACTTAAGCGTTAAAAGTTTTTTTTTTGTTTGTTTGTT